GACATGGCTTCAATCCAAACATGGGAATTGACTCTTGTTCTTCGACAATGCTGATGACCCCAAGATGAACTTGAATAAGTTCTTCCCACTGTGCAACCATGGAAGCATTATCATTACCTCTCGCAATCCTGGCCTCAGGGTTTACGGTGAACACTCTCCAGTGTCCGACATGGAAGAGATAGATGCAGTCATTTTGTTGCTTCAAAGTGCAGCAAATAAAACCTTTGAGCAAAATCTCGAAGTTGCTGCCAAAATTGTGGAGGTCAAAGACCTGCTAGTGCATTAAATGACTAATTCTAATTTGTTCAACAGGAATTGTATTATTTACCGCTAGCAATTGCCCAGGCCGGAGCCTTCATATCCAAATCTGAAGACCTTGCTGGCTACTTGACTTTGTATGTGGAGAATTGTGCTCAACTTCTCAGGGAAAAACCCCAGAAGTCTCATGATCAGTATGCTTGGACGGTCTACACAACATGGCAAATCAGTTTTGATCAGCTCAGTAAACCGGCTGCTAGGTTCCTCCAGCTCTGCTCTTTTCTGCATTATACTGGGATTACAGAGGACATTTTCAGCAATGCGTCCAAGTATAATGGTGCAGTGTGGTTGCCACCCAAAAAGGACCTGCAGGAGCCACTTCAGTTCCTGTCTTGTTTCCTAGGACCAACTGGAGAATGGAACTCTCTGAGCTTTTTAGATCTTACCAATGAAATCAAGGGTTATTCACTGATCAGCTTTGACACAGCAACAAAAATGTTTGCTATCCACCCATTGGTTCATGCTTGGAGTCGAAGCACAGTCGTTGATAAAGAATCATCTTGCTGGTGTATCAACTCCATACTGGGAATGTCCATTTCAGAGATTGATATGACTCTTGCTTTCCCGAGATTGTTGCCTCATCTTGGGGCACTCAGCCAGGCTGATAGGGGCCCTGACTTCAGAATTGCATTTTGGCAGATCTATTTTGCTGCAAGGAAACTTCAAGAAGCACATGATCTTATGATGCAGGTTCTTGAGAACTACAAACTGGTGTTTGGAGAACAGCATCTAGCTACCCTGAAAGTTATGAACTGTCTGGGATTAACATATAAGAAGCTGGGAGAGTATAAGAAGGCAAAGGCGCTCGAGGTGGTGGTGCTTGAGGAATGCGTCACAATTCTGGGCCCGGATCATCCTACCACCTTGGAGGCCATGGGGAATTTTGCTATGACACACTGTAATCTTGGAGATTATGAGCAAGCAAAAGAGCTTGAGATCCTGGTACTTCAGAAGCCGACCACACTTCTGGGTCAGGATGACCCAGACACCTTACTGGCCATGGGGAATCTTGCCCTAACATACTCTAATCTTGGAGATTATCACAAAGCAAAAGAGCTCGAGATGGTGGTGCTTGAGAAGCGGACCAAAGTTTTGGGAGAAGAGCACCATGCTACCTTGATAACCATGGGGAATCTGGCTCAGACGCACGCTAATCTTGGAGATAATGAGAAAGCAAGAGGGCTTGGGGTCACAGTTCTGGAGAAGCGGACCATGTTTCTGGGCGAGAATCACCTTGACACCTTGGTAGCCATGGGGAATCTTGGTACAATATACTCTAACCTTGGAGATTATGACAGAGCACAAGAGCTCGGGGCCCTAGTGCTTCAGAAGCTGGCCACACTTCTGGGTCAGGATCACCCTGACACTCTGATTGCCATGAGGAATCTTGCCAGGACATCCTTTGATCTTGGGGATTATCATAAAGCAAAAGAGCTGGAGATGGTGGTGCTTGAGAAGCAGACCAAGGTTTTGGGAGAAGAGCACCATGACACTTTGATAACCATGGGGCATCTGGCTGTGACACACTCTACCCTTGGAGATTATGGCAGAGCACAAGAGCTCGAGACCCTGGTGCTTCGAAAGCAGACCACACTTCTGGGTCAGGATCACCCAAACACCTTAATAACCATGAGGAGTCTTGCCATGACATACTCTAATCTTAGAGATTATCATAAAGCAAAAGAGCTCGAGATGGTGGTGCTTGAGAAGCAGACCAAGCTTTTGGGAGAAGACCACCACAATACCTTAATTACCATGGGGAACCTGGCTGTGACACATTGTAATCTTGGAGATTGGGAGAAAGCAAAAGGGCTTGCGGTCACAGTTTTGGAGAAGCGGACCACACTTCTAGGTCAGGAGCATCCAGTCACCTTGATTGCAATGGGGAATCTTGCCATGACACACCAGAAACTGGGGGACTTGGAGAAAGCAAAACAGCTCTGGGTTACAGTGCTTGCAAAGCAGACCACAATTTTGGGACAAGCTCATCCTCACACCCTGATGGCCATGGCCCACCTTGTAACAATATATTGTGCTCAAGGAGAGTTCACAAGGGCAGAAAGACTGGGAATTGTGGTGCTTGAGAAGTGGAGACAACTCTTTGGTGATCAGCATCACCTTAGTATCCTTGCTATGCAGAGTCTGGCCCATACATATCGAAAGCTGCAGAAGCTAAAGGAGGCGGAAGAGCTTGACCAACTTGTGAAGGACAGTCAAAAGTTGGTATAATTTATGATAGTTTTTGTCCCTTTGTATGATTGGTTGATGGATTTAAGTTTTTCGGTGTAATTTACGATGAAAAATGTTGCTTGTTGTTCAGACATTTTTCACTGAAAAGGTAGGTAAAAAATTCGAATCCTTTTCACTATTTTTTGAGCTCAAGGTGAAAAGTATGTGAAAAATAAACAACATTTTCTGCCCTAAACTGTGCTGAAAACTCCAATCCCTCAACCAGTGGATAGTATAGTGGTCAGTGTGTCACTGGTTGGGGAATTCGAGTTTTTCACCACAATTCACGGTGAAAAATGTCGTTTGTTTTTCAGACATTTTTCACTGAAAAAGTAGGTGGAAAATTCAAACATTTTTCACCCCTTTTTGCCTTTCTTTTGAATTTTTCACCTTGAGCTCAAAAAATAGTGAAAATGATTCGAGTTTTTCACCTACTTTTTCAGTGAAAAATGTCTATAAAACAAACAACATTTTTCACCGTAAATTGTGCTGAAAAATTTGAATCTCCCAACCAGTGTGTATATTTCTAATCACAGAATTGCATACTTTCTTTTGTGTGCTTCCATATATTATAAATGTCTTCCTGTCCTTTTTCCTGCTCGGGTCTGAGGTATATGGCGGTTAGAGTGCCCCTTTAATAAAACGGGTACACAAAGTGCCGTTTAGGGTAGACTTTTGACACATTAGCGAAATTTTTGACAAAGAGGTGAATTCTTTTTCTTATACCAAGAAAGAAATTTCAACTATACACTCTCTTTTTGCCAAGAGAGGTACAAACTCTGATCCAAGATAAACTTTGTGTTTCCTCCTACATGTGGCTGTGTAAAGCGGATCAATACTACGGTGATCCGCCTATCTGCCGGGAGAAATGCATTGCATAACAGAAGAGGTCGAGCAACGCCAGGGGTCGTTCCTGAAGCTTCTGCTGCATGGAGCACCCTTCTGGGCATCAACCAACTCAGTTCAATTGAGTTCAGCATCCGCTTCAGCATACATGGCCGAGTTCGGAACAGGAGGCATGAAGAGCTGGGAAATTGTGCCGGGCCACGCACTACTGCTTGAAATGTTGAACATTGTGAGCTGTCACTTTGTGATACGCTCTGAACGCAGCCAAATGAGAGGAAAAACATACTTTCACGATGGCGACTCCGTATCCAAGAATATGACAACCGGTCGTATGGGAGTAATACTGTCTCATAATTAATGCTATTTTCCGGGAAAAGTGCACCGGTGTAAGGAAAAACAACACCGGTTGGATTGACCTCAGGAAAAAGACACCGCTCCCGGCGAGACAAAAAAGTTCACCGGTGATGGCGTGTACAAGAGATTCACAGCTTCTAATACCTTCCTTTTTTTACTCCCCCCCTTATTTGCCAAGAATTGGCATTTTAGATTCCGCGCTGAGACTGATCTTTGGTGAATGCATCTTGCTCCGACCACACAGCAATGACTTGGGTATGTTGACTGGTTCTACATCTATGCCTTAGCTATAAGATCACTGTACCATCACTATTTGCATGGCTGAACTGGTTGACAATTATTCAGTGCATCTTGCAGCCCTGCTATAGGGCCCTGAAACTGATTTCCACTCAGTTCCCCCATCCAGGAGTGTTTGAGTTTTCCCGAAGAGTGGGTGCGATACAACACACCAGATGTTTACAATATCTTTTGAGCCGACATTCCTATCCCCCTTCTTGACCCTAGTTATTGAAATGTTCTTTCTGCAACCCTTTCGCTCATCACCATCCGTCCAGTTCTAATCAACAAGCCCATGGTCCTACGCCTAGACCACTATGAACCTTTATTCCTCAACAGCAACAAATTCCGCCCCCACAGCCTACCACATCGCAGAACTGAGGTGGTGAAAGAAAATCTCATTAATGAGGGTGTGAATTTTAAATTTGAGACTTTGACGGGGGTGAAAATTTTCGTTACCGGGAAGATGTGTGTTTATTATCTGTGTAAAGTACTTGTGTAGCTTTTACTACCCAATCTACGGAGTGTCCACATTTTTTTGGTGACATTGTGAGGTAGTGTGTTTTTTAAGAAAAAGGTGTGACATCATTCTAACCTGTAATTATGAGACAGTATTACAGCCATACGGTCGCACCGCCGAATAAAAAAAGACTCACACCATTCCACAAGGCCAGACCCCAAATCGAACGGAGACCTTGCGAGGAAACGTTACAGGCTCTGTATTTGTCTCGCATGCGTTGCCACTCCACCACCTGGCCTTGAGTCAAAAACGAGACCTGAATTGAAAGTCACTGGATTAAAAAGGATGGCCAGACTCCGAATCGAATGTAGACCTTGCGAGGAAACGCTGCGGTGTCTGTATTCGTCTCGCATGCGTTACAACTCCGCCACCTGGCCATGATTAGGACAAAGAGCTTTGACAAACGGACAAAACGATACGGGCTTGGATGAAAATAAAAACCCAACTTTCGCGCCCAAGGCCAGACTCCGAGTCGAACAGAGACCTTGCGAGGGGACATTATTAAGTGCTATATTCGTCTCACATGTGTTACCACTCCGCCACCTGGCCGTGATAAATCTGCAAGGAAGGAAGAAGCAAAACAGAAGCACAGCTAAATTCAATACGGAGACGGATCAATGGCGGGCAGGCATACGGAGTGGCTTCTTGGGAAACGGGGTGACCAAACGGGAAACAGAGTTGGCACGAGGCAAGTCCGAATCGACTGTCAGTGCCTTCAAACATCGGGAGCACATGGAGATCGACAGGGCAAGTATCGGACGGAGAACCGCATAAAAGCCAGCTGTATGATACGGAATGATCATTGTATTACCTCCCACTGCATATACCTAAAGCTACTCCCCCTGAAGTACACCAGGGTGGGGATTTAAATTGAATACACTCTGCTACGGGTTGTGCCGCCCAATGGTAGGACAAACAAAGGTCACCTAAAGGCCAGGGCTTGTCAAGAAACCTCATCTGTCTCACCTCCGTTTCGATACATCGATACGGAGGAATATACTCAATCCAAAGTTGAAAGCGTGCGGTAGTAGATTACGCAGCACACCACCAAATGGCCAGTCACCTAACTTGGCTTCGTGCAACCGTTCCTTTTCGGAGTTCGAACACATATCCTTGCAAGGAACCCACCACATCGTATACAGAAGGCCTATCCTACACGATCATACCATTTCCCCCATTCAATTCGCACACTTCACCCCCGAGTCTTCGAAATGGAATTAAATCCGTTTCAAGGTGTTCACCAAATGGAGGAACCAGGCTACGAAGGGAATCACTAGAGCCGTCCGTATAGTGTTACACTGGTCTGAAGAGACCTGCCGTCCGATACGCTCGAGACGGGTGGATAAAACATAACAGATAACCCGAGTACTCCGGAACAGAACAGCACTCGCATTGCTGAGCGAACCCTTCGAGCAAGTGTAGAAGACTATCTATCCGCGGTATATTTGGAAGGCCAGCCCCCAACAAAGAACCAAATCTTCGAGGAACCTGGCAAAGTGTTCACTCCATACGGAGAGGATTGTACACACACACACCACAAATTTATATACTGCGCATTAGCGTACCTTAAACTACGCAGCTCCGCGACAGAGCAATTTCCTCCTAGAGGACGAATTAAATTCTGTAAACACTACTTGACTATACCCACCCCGGGTCAGGCAGTTCACAGAACCGCCAACGTCGCACCGAAGATGGCAGATGCGAGCCAGGCTGATTGGCGCTGCTCCAAGCATCAGGTATGCATTGCGACCTGGAAGCAATTGTGGTGGGACCGGATAGGTCGCAAGCTGCTCCACCCGGACGCTCCCATCAGAACCGGCGACATTGTGAACGAGGTGAAGCAGTTGTCACACAAGGACCTCAACGAGACGTGCCGTTTGGATATGGTCAAGGAGATCGAGACCAATCTTGAGTTTATCGATAAATGTACCATCTCTACAGTCGTCACTGCTATTGTGGCTTACCACTCTGCCATCACGTAGTAGAGCAACTTCTATATTTCTTGGAATTACTGTACATAACATATCAACCCAATCTCGAAAAATCATACGTTGCATCCATTGCGGCCGAGAGTCTGGAAATGTGCAATGAGAAATCAGTTTGAAAGGTGGTTTATTATTTGTCGACATACCGAGCCCAGCGGAGATCATCCTCTTCGCACACATCGACCTCGGCAATTCGGTGCTCACGGATAAGGGTGGAGGCGGATGGTGGCTTCACAATGCAGCGGATGTGGAAGGTTGGTGGGTGAGCGCAAGGGCTTGTAGGTATGTGCCGTGTCCTAAACTGAAAAAAGGGGTGCCGTAAGTCCAGCGCGAGCACATATTGCGCTTTCGTACGTACTCGAGGTGCGCTGAGCCGTCTCGTATGCACGATAGATGGGTGAGGTGATGCGCCGTGAGTCAGCATGCAGTGAAAAAAAAACCGACTTCATTGCCGTCTGTTGGTGTTGGCACAACAGGGCGAGGTTGGGGTTGCACAAGTCGCACGTAGAGGCGTGCATGCAGGAAGGTTGGTGATGGTGCGGGGACGGTCAATGCACAACTCCTAGGTTGCGATCAGAAAATATTAGAAAAGCGAAGAAAGAAAGGACGTACCTCAATTCTCGTAGGCCTCGGAGATGGTCCCGCATGCGTCGTAGTGTGGGTTGGAGTAGATGCGAGGCGAATGAGCACGGCGGCAGTACAGGTAGGGCACGAGCGGTGCGGGGAGCAAGCAGCATGGATTGCAGATGGGTGCGGCGTCGCAATGTAGTGTGTATGGACGGCACATGTCTGACGATGTGGGCCATGTGGCACGCGCAGATGATGCGGGGCGATATGTTGATGCGGGCGGATGCCCACGGAAGCGTGGGGACATGGATAGTGGGGACCTGTTTGAAGAAAAAGAGATGGGCACCCGAAGAAAAAGAAAAAGAAAAAAAAGAAGTAGGAAAGAAGGGAAGAAATACATACCGTGTGCGCTGAACGTGCAAGGCGGACGTGTAATGGATTCACACGGATTTGTGGACCTTCTGCGGGCGTGGTGGCCATGCAAGGTGGACGTGCACGGCATAAATCTACATGGCAGATGCGTGGGATGTGCGGGGCGGATGTGCACGACGGAAGGGCGCGGCGGATGCGCGGAGCGAAGCGGCAGTGTGCAAGGCGGTGCAGAGGGAGGCGGGGGGCGAGCGGGGGCATGTAAAGCAGGGTGCAGTGGCCCACAGCGGCGATTTTGAACGCACTTTGGGGTGAGTTAGCAACAGGTTTTGCAAAATGGTAAAAACAAAGAGAAAAAGGAACGAAGTGGGGAGAGGAAAGGGAAGGATAGTAGAGAAGGAGGAGGGAAGGGGGAAAAGGAGGGGGAAGGGAAAGTGCAAGAACAAAACAAAGATGCAAGGAGAAGGTGTACATACCTTGCTCCATCCCTAGTTCTCCATCCCATCCCACTATCCTGGCTCTCCCAGTTTCATTTCTCTACCCCCACCCTTCCCCCTAACCTCTGAGCCCCGGCGGTGCAGATTCATCGCACATCAAACCACGGTTAGGGCAACACTCTCCCAGCGTACTGACCAGATGAGAATGGCCCAACAAGAAGGCAATTCCGGCTGAGCAACATATGCAAGCGGAGTCGGGGAGTGTTGGGGCGGGTAGTGGTCAAGAGCAAGCCCGCTAAGCTGAGCCAAACAAAACGCGTCGCACCCATGTCAGCGTGACCGTAAAGGGCCCGCCAAGCACGGCCAAACACCGGTGCAGTGATCCGGCGGTTGAACTACGACCGACGTGACACCGCCGTAGGCGCACTCGCCCCGCTCAGCGCGTCGGACAGTGAGCGGCGGGGCCCGCTTGTCATGCCCTACGATGCTAAAGGACCACCTCGAAAGTATATGTGAGTCGACCTGCGTCGAGATATAACTGACCTGACCTTCGAGATATAACTGATCGAGATTCGAGATTTTGAACATCCCGTTAAAATATATATTTCTCAACTTTGGTTCTGCGGTATCTTGGCAGCAAGATTTGCAAACATAAGCAGTTTTTTCAATATATCTTCAATTTCACCAACTTTTGCACACTTTGACACATTCGAGATAAAATTGATTTATTTTACAAAGGGGCCAGCATACTGTAGTATTACGACCACTAGTTCACGGGGTGTCACCCGTCACCACAAAAGTTCACTGGGATCGAAGTTCACGCTTCAGCAATCAACCAACAATTGCTATAAAAGGTAATCCGGCGAATGCCGGAGCGAAATTTTGTGTTTTTCAACCCCTATTTGGGCCAGGAAAACTCATTGTCACCGTCACCGAGTTCAATTAGTTCAGTTCACAGCTCCCCGTCACCCATCACCTGAACTAGTGGTCGTAATACTACAGTATGGTTACATTCGGATTTAATCGGAGGGAATCTGTGCCTGTGGTTCTTTGAGGACAGTAAGAGAAGAGCAAAAATTTGACCTAGCTAGATCAGCAAGTGGCTCAGTCCCGAGTTGAACTCGTTGATACTGCCAAATTTATTGCGGGCGTGGACCATCCACCACCGAGCTCCCCTCTGATTTTGTGGTTGAATACATGCACAGTTCTTGAGTTTACATTCACTTTGAGTGCAATTATTCACTTGGCGGAGAATTGGTTGAATTTCCCACTCCAGTCTGTCTATATAATTTCAACCTTTGGAAAAATTCCTTCCACATATCCACCAAGGTCTTTCGTGGTGGGTGGCCGAGTCTTGGGATATCGCTAGTATAGTTGTTGCACTTCCCTTGTGACGAGCCTGGCTTCTACCATCACCATGTCCCAATCGGGTAATGCCGCGCTGGCACCCCAAGGGCATGAATTCGCGCTCCCCTTGCCCTCCTCCTCCACTTCTGAGCTCTCAGATGAAACCCCAGACCCTCCTAATACCCCCCGCGCCCTTATTGAAGTAATACATCGCGTAATTTCCACGAACAAGGCGAAAAAGACCTCCAAACTCACCCAAGCCAACTATAGCGAGATCTTCGCGTCCCTGGACGCGCTGGACGCCCTGATTAGCGACGGAGAGCACCTCGAGTCCGCACTGGAAAAGCTCAAGCGCGAACTCATCGCTGAGCTCAAGCCACCCACGTCGACCACACCCACCGCACGCATATGCCTCGGCGGCGTCCTCGCCTCCCCCTGCTCTCCCTCCCATCGCTTCTTCTCCCTCCAGCCCCAAACCGCCCACTGCCAAAACCAGTGAACTCACCATACTCTCGACAAGGACAGTGACGTGCTTTCCCTCCCCCCTGCCGAGATCAAAGCACGGGTAGAGGCAGCCATCACTGCGACCGAGGTGGAGAAGCTCGCCGGTATTGCGCTCCGCGGGGCCAAGATCCTCTCGCGCGGCCGTCTTCTTGTCGCAGTCAATTCCAAAAAGACCGCGACCCTCCTCAAGCAGTCCGCTGTCCATTGGATCCCCCGCATCGCGAAGAACTCCTCGCTCGTCGTCCCTGGTTGCCAAATTGTCGTACCCAGCGTCCCCACCATTCTCAATCCCTCCTCCCCTGGTGCCGCTGCCCAGCTTTACGCCATGAACCGCTCCGTA